GCTGACCTCTTTTCAATAGGGGCCAGATTAGCATGCAGCGGTGCTGTGTGGCTCACCACTGCGGTGGTGGAGAGCTTTTGTCCCCGGTGGTAATCCGCTTGCTCTAAATACCCCAAACCCTGGAATACGGTTTCAAAATAACGCTGGATTATCACCACTTTTGAGAGTGAAAAATGCCGGTCATGCCCAGCAGCCTGGTCTTTTGTTCGGAGTACGGTCTTTTGTTACAAGGCCCTGTTTCCTTTGTCCGAGTTCGGAGACCCCGGCCACACATATAAACCCTACGGCTCAGATTTCGGAGTCCCCGGCTGGTAGTGGTTAAGAGCCCCTACAGTTCTCAATCCTCCAATTTCAATATAATTTGGCACTGTAGTTTAGGGTTAATGTCTTTGAAGAAGGTATGTTGTTGATATAGAACTGGTCATGAGAGCATTTTCTTAATGTTTAAAACTTCAGAGTAAGTTAAGTGATCCATCATTTGATTTAGGAGGGCCTTGTTGACTTCTCTGATGATTATATTACAGTTGCTTCCTTTACATTCTTGGAGTGCATGGCTACTCATTCCTTGTACAGTGTGGCAAAGTTTGGCTGTGAAGAGAATTGAAATGGGGCATTTTCTTTCATAGAAAATATTGTAGTGTCTTAGAGGCTGTGGTGGAGAAGCATTGAAATACATAATTCACTTTCTGAGTTTCACATTTTCCCACAGGTGTGACAAACTGTATGAGGACATTTTCAGTGAATGCCATGATGTAGTTGATCCAGGTGACTTCTACAAGAACTGTCTCTACAACAATTGCTATGGCAAACAGCCAACGTGCTGGGACTTTGAGGCTTACGTTGCCGAGTGCTCAGCAATGGGTATCTGCATCGACTGGCGTGAAGATGACTTCTGTCGTACGTTTGTCTTACATTGAATATTTTTATTTTTGTCATTTTTGATGATGAAACAGAGGATTCCTCCTTGATTTCTGCCATGAGATTAACACTTGAGCAGAGTACCTGCATAAGAACACCATCGCATGATGCTTACAAAGATCTTGCAGCCTAGCTAGATGTCTCTGGAATTGCCATCAACACACTTTTTGGAGGAAACCTAAACAGAGATTTCATCTTTTTACCAACAGCATACACCTGTGAGAGTGATGAGATGCACTTCCGGGAGTGCGCTTGCCCAGATGATATCTACACCAGCTGCTATCCCTGGGATAAGGAACCAAACGAGTGCGACATGGAACCAGTATCTGGTTGCTTTTGTAATGAGGGATCCATGGACAACGGCAACGGAACCTGTATACCCTGTCGTAAGTAGAGGTCCCCTTCCTTCAAGATTTGGACTTTCTAGGCTTAAGTGCACTGTGTTAAGTTGCATACAAAACGATCTTGATATTTCAGGATTCCTGGATGTTTGACTCTGGAACCTCTAGATTTTTTAGTTCAATGCAGAGAATCAGATTATGCAATCAAAACCTCTTGACCGTACTTTAACATTCTTTCATGAGCATATGTTTCATCTTATTATTCACAGCCACAATTCTTCCCACTACCCGTGCAAGGACTACTGTTATTTCCACCACTGAACCTGTGGAATCTACCACTCCTAAGGTTTCCACTTTACCACCACCAAAGCCAACGACACAAGAGTCCACCCCTCCAGAGTCCACAAC